ATCAGCTGTACACTTGGCATCTGCACAGAAATGACCGCAGTGCGACAGTAGCAGGTAGAAGTGGTGGGCGGGCCAGGGCGCCACAAGATGCAATGCTCTTACCGTGCGCCCCCACGCCGTTGAGCAGTTGCAGCAAGCGGAACTGCCTGACAAGCTCCACATCAAGCAGCTTGGTGTTATTGACTGGCGCAGTCGGCACACAGCTGATCTGGAGAGGGTGCACGGTGATATTGGGGCGCCCATGCGTCTTGCACTCCCATACCGGCAACGTGAGCCTGCCCACCACGCCGAGCGGCCCATAAAACACAGCTGCCTGGCTGCCCGTCTTGTGCAACTCACAGCAGCTGCCATTTTCTGCTGCTAAGTGGCAAGGAAGCGGCTCCATGCTGGCCAGCTGGGCTTGCCGCTGCTGGAGCTGCTGCTGGCGCTCCTGCCGCTGCTGCGCCGCCCGGCCCGGCAGAGAGGCCAAGAAGGCATCCACGTCCGGTCCGAGCCGAGCCTCCCAGTGATCACGTTTGCGTCCTTGCCGGTCGCCCCAGCCTAAGAAGCCGCTGGGTGCTCGCTCATCCTCGTTGTCATCCCTCTCACCCCGCCGCCTGGCCTGCCCTGGCACATTGAAGGGAGCTTGTTGTCCTGGTCTACTTGCACGGGGTCTTTTTGGCTGTGGCCCGTCTAGAGGCCTGGGGGCCGTGGTCTTGCTAACCACCTTCATCCTAAAGTGCTGGCTCATGTCCTAGAAAGCATATTACGGTTGCTGGGATGCCAACAGAACAAACGGGAGGGAGAATGATGCATGATTGAGGATGATGTCCCTAATGACCCTCCAGGTGGGGGGCCATCATGCCCATCATGGGGCACATCCTTACCGGGAGGCCTACCTGCTGAACGAATAGCCGGTGTCATCACTGGCGCCTCTTGTGACCCAGGGCGCTCGTTTCTGCACGCGGCCTCCTACCACCACGCGCTGCAGTCATCTCCTTGACAGGAGAGGGCGGTGAAGGTCCTACCTGGCACTCCAGCCGGACATGCAAGGCGCGATGGCGGGAGGCCCCTCGCTTGCCGCTCTTCAACGGCTGTCGCCGCCCAGGACACCCCCCAAAGACACTTCTCTCGAGGGCAAGGCGCCGAGCGACACAGCAGCCGCCTCAGGTTGGTGGCATGCCAGCCTCGCTGATCGCTGCTTGCTGCGAACTTGGCTTGGCTTGGCATGTGATCATTCACTCCCTTAGAGCATCGCACATCACTTTACGGAACACAAGTGGGTGCTTGCTGTGCAGGCGCCGGCGCCGCCGCCGCCGCTCGAAGTGCGGCAGAGGACGAGGACAAGAAGAAGAAGGGCAGCGTCCAGCCTGATGCTGCAAGCGACCGGTCCAAAACGGGCGCCAAGAAGAAGTCGAAGAAAGGGCCTCACGTGCCCCAGGAAAGGAGGATCCACATCGCCGCGCGCCGTGGCGACGCGCGCGCCCAAATGAAGCAGGCCCCCGTGCCAGCTGGGACAGCAGAGCTGCGCGGCCTGGTTGATGCGCGTGCAGAGGTGACGAGCCTCCTGGGACCCATGGCGGCCGGTATCCAGCAGCACCGCACCAGAACGCCCCCCCACGGCGCCCCCCCGGCCTCCGCCTTCAACGCCGCCCTGCGGAGCATCGCCCTCGGCGTGTCGATTTTCGACATGGGCGCGTCCGATGCCTCGGACGTTAGGGCGTCCCTGCGCGGCAGCGCTGACACCTCCAGGCTCTCCCGCCAAAAGGCACCGGCAGTCAACGTGGCCGCCCATCCCGACCCCGCCTCCGGCATGGGCGGCGCCGGCGCCTCGCCGGCTGGGCAGCGTTAGCCCCAGCCAGCGCAGCCGCCTGCGCGTGGCTGCAAGGCCTGGACCCGATCCTTAGGCGATGGCCCTCTTCACAGGCGGCCATTTAGCCATTGCTGGTGAAGAAGACGGCTGCTGTTGACACCACCAGCGGATGTCACCTTGCCACCACAGTCAGAGACAGATTGAGATTACAGGTAACTTCGTAGGGACCCTGTAACAAACAATCTGTTGAAGCCAAAGCGCCGCCGGCAGGAAATGAAGAGGGCGCCAGGCGAGGAAGCAGCCGAGGTTGCTGCTCCGCCGCGCCAGCCTGCATCAGCCGCGCCCCTTGTCCCCCCGCCGCTTCTTTGGCGCCGCGGGGGGCGGCGGGCCGGCGGCCGCCTCCGTCTGCAGCGCCCCCCAGGCCTGCAGCAGCGCGCCGTCGCACCCCTTCTGCATGCACTGGGCCAGCTCGCGGCGCAGAAAGGCGGGGGCGGCGGCCCACTTGGCCGCCAGCGAGGCGCGGCTGTCCACCCGCGCCGCCACCAGCGCCGCCAGCAGCTCCGCCGCCCGCTTGTGCACGCGCATGTCTGGGCGCAGCAGCATGCTGGGGGGCACCGCCAGGCCCTGGCGCAGGCCTGCGGCAGGGGCAGCGAGGGGCGCGGGGCGGGTGGCGCGGGGCGTCAGGCAACACCCGGGAAAGGTGGGGCGATGCAGAGGGGGCACGCCGCGCTGGCAGACAGTTGAGCAGGCGGCCTTGGCAGGAGCAGGCCCCGCCCCCGCCCCCGCCCCCCCTCCCGCTTGCCTGCAAAGCTGGGCAGCACCCTGCCCTCCAGCAGGGCCGCCCCAAACACGGCGCACCGCTCGCCAGGGTCTGGGTGCGGCGCCGCGCAGCGCGGCAGCTGCCAGCCGTGGCGCCCAAATGTCACGTCCCGCCAGCACAGCACCTGCGCAGAGGTGGCGGCCGCGGCATGGGGGGCAGGAGCGCAGGCACGCAGGCGTCGGCGCCAGCTGGGTCCACACCCCAGCCGCTGGCGCAGGGGCAGCCCTCCACCACCTAAACCGCCGCCTTGTCGTGCCGAGAGCCGGGCGGCGGCGAAGCGCCCCTCCCCTCCCCCACTCCACCTGGTCTGCTGCGGGCCTGTAGAAGGGTGGCGGCTCCGCCAGCGGCGCCGAGAAGGCGCAGAGCGGCGGCGCCACCTGCGGCAGCCACGCCGCCTCCACGCCCGTCACCCCCGCCATGTAGGCGCGCTTGGAGGTGCGCACCAGCTGGGTGTACACCACATACTCTGGGGCGGCGGCGTGCAGCGCGGAGCTGGGGTGCACAAACACGTCCTCGTCCACGGCGGCGCAGGCGCGGTACCGTACCGCACGGCCGCGCTTGCCTTGCGGGGAGGCAGCAGGCAGGAGGGGGGGGGGAGGGCGTGAGGGGGTGAGGAGGGGGTGAGGGAGGGCAGGCAAGCTAGCCACGCGTCAGCCAAGCCAGCCGGCACACACACACACACCGCTCGCATCGCCGCGGCCCCAGCGCCCCCCAGGCAGCTGCCCCACCCACACACCCACCCGCCTCGACCACCGTCCGACCGCCCACCTGCTGCTGCGCCTGGCTGCGAACGTGATCCAGGGAGCGGATGCGGCGGCACACTCTGGTCAGCCCACCCCGCCGCCAGCGCCCCGCCGCAGCG